ACCAAAATGGACTCTTTGCATAGGTGGTAGCACTATGCGACCGCACAATGCTATCCTCTATACGGCCGCATAGAGGCCACCCGAGAATAAATTCTCAAAAATTTTTACTCTATGCGACCGCATAGAGATATACTATGCGGTCGCATAGAGCAATTCGAAGGTCGAATCTGCAGTTTCCTTATTTCGTCGAAACTCTTATGGAAACAAGATTTTTAGGGTCCTATATAAATAAAAACTCAACCAGAACGAAGGGGACACCATTTTTAGAAGAAAAAGAGAGATTTTGAAGGAGAAAACAAAGAGAGAACAAGAGAAAAACATCGTGCCAATTGAAGAATTGATTGAAACTTGATTCGGGTGATGACGTTTCTTCAATTATTTTTGTATTTCCTTCTTTTTAGCATGTTAGGCTAGATTTTTCATGTACTAGGAGATCGATGAACCTTGCAATACGCATTTTGATTTTTGATTTGGAGATTTGACATATTTAAGCACATGTTCCGAAATTGAATGATTTATAGGTTTTTATTTTCGTATTATTATTGTGCACGTAATTATATGATTTTGGTGACCTGTTTTATGCATTCAAGAGAAGGAAAATAGGCTCGACATGGTATAAATCGTCATAGGGTTCGATAGGGGATAGAAATATACCTCTATGCCTCGTGTGAATTATTGAATATTCATGAAATAACATGCATTCCTGTATGTTAGTATTCGTCATAGAGATATAGTCGAATCACATATTGGGGTAGGTTTGGCATTGCTCGAGAGAGATTGCTAAATTAAGATAGGAATATTGATTCATCAATTGTGGGAATGTATGTCAACTTTGCATAATTAAAAGTTGAACGGGTGTTGCTTGGGAATTCTTGATCCTAGTGCGTTAGTAATTCATTAATTCCATAAATTCTCATAGATTGCATCCAGTTCATTTGCATTTAGTATAAGTTTCTCACTCATAATTGCATCATAGTTCACATCTTCATTAGTTAAATCACAACACATACACCTTACTTTCGTGTTTCGGTTAAGGTCATAATAGGTTGACTTGAACTAATCCAATCCTTGTGAGATCGATACTTGGACTCATAATCCATTCTACTATTTGTTAACAAACCGTACACTTGCGGTGGGTTTTAAATCGAAAGAAATAATTTCTTGAACAAGTTTTTGATGCCGTTGTCGGGGATTGAAATTTAGTTTAATTTTATCTATTGTGACACTAATTCAAACTTACCTAGATTAGTAGTAGTTAGCTTGTTAGACTTAGTTTATTGTTTACTTTAATTTAATTTTGTGTTATTTTTACTATCTCAGAGCTTGTATGCAAAGAGCACTTGATCGAGATTGGGTTTCCATTGATCCAGAGATCGAATGCACATTTCGTCACAGACAAAGAGAAGCAAGAGCAGCATAACAAATTCAAAAAGACCAAAAATAGCAACAACAGATGGCTAACGAGCAAAAATCGTCCAGTAATTCAACTCAACGAAGGCATGGGAGTTGAAGATGAAGGGAATATGGTACTTGGGGACTTCATGGCACCGTTGGTGGTCCAGAGTCAATCTACCATTGTGTATCCTCCATTTGGGTAGCCGAACTTCTAGCTGAAAATAAATGTAATTCAACTATTTCAGAATGAGCGTCAATACTACGGGATGACTAATGAGAATCCACATACACACATATCCCGATTTCTGGACATGTGCCAACACTTTAGGTATCAGGGTATCTCAAATGATGCTACAAGACTGTGATTGTTTCCACACACATTGCGGGATAAAGTACTTGAATGGCTGGATTCACTTCCCGTCGGAAGCATCACTACTTGGAACGAGCTAGTCCACAAATTCTGTACCAAGTTCTTCTCGTCAGCTAAGGTAGCAAAAATGCGGCATGACATATCTATATTCAACCAAGACGAGTCCAAATCATTTGAAGAGGCCTGGAATCGCTTCAAAAATATGTTAAGGAATTGTCCTCAGCATGGCTTTGACAAAAAGACACATATTCGATTTTTTTACACTGGATTATTTCCATCCTTCAAGAGCATGGTGGATTCATCATCCGACGAGTCAATCTCCACGAGAACAATTGACGGAGCATGGGAACTATTTGAGAGAATGACTACAACTTCAGCCATGTGGTCTACAGATTGAGTGGTTTAGAAGAGAACATCGGGGATTTATGAAGTAGATACTTATTTAGCATTATCCGCAAAGATAGACTTCTTGTTCCATAAGGTTGAGAGCATTTCACAGACCACTAATGCAAAACAAGTCAAGAAGCTAAGTTGTGAAGAATGTGGAACAGACCACAATGCTGTCAACTATCCAATTCTCACACTGGGGATTGGACATGCAGATTTTGTGCAATGGGGTCAACGCCAACTGAACAATCCACATTCGAAAACCTTCAACCAGGGCTGGAGAAAATACCCAAACTTCTCATGGAGTAATCAAAATCAAAACAGACCACATGGTCAATTTCAGCAGCAGAATAAAAAGCCACCATTGGAAGAGATGTTTGAGAAGTTCATGGCAACGACTAATCAGTACATGGAGGCTAACAACCAGTTTATGCGAAAGGCAGACGCAACGCTCCAAGATCAAAGTGCTTCAATCAAAAATTTGGAGATGCAAATGGGACAGATGGCAATCTCCATGATAGGTAGAGCACCAGAAAACCTAACCAACAACACTGAAATCAATCCTAAGGAGCACGCAAAAGCTATAACAACCAGAAGTGGAGTACAACTATCGGAGATACATGTAAAAAGATCGGTAGTTAGCAAGGAATCAGCACTAATCTTAGATGACGAGATTTTGGAACGGACTGAACAAATAACAGAGGATGTTGCCAAGAAGAGTTCCAATACATCACGGGTTACAGCTACCAATTCTATCAACCCTCATGAGCCACCTATTCCATTTCCGCAGAGGTTGAAAAAGCACAAACTGGATCAGCAATATAGTAAATTTCTTGAAATCTTTAAAAAACTACACATCAACATCCCATTTGCTGAGGCACTAGTTCAGATGCCGAGTTATGCAAAATTCCTAAAGGATATCCTCTCTAACAAGCGAAAGATAGAAGAAAATAAAACGGTGATGCTAACTGAGGAATGCAGTGCTAGAATCCAGAAAAAGCTGCCTCCAAAACTAAAGGATCTAAGGAGTTTTACTGTACCTTACACTATTGAAAATTGTCATTTTGATAAAGTTTTGTGTGATTTAGGTGCAAGTATTAATTTGATGTCTCTCTCTATTTTCAGGAAACTCGGCTTGGGAGAAGCTAAAGCCACAACAGAGACCCTGTAGTTAACGGATCGATCCCTTACACGTCCAAGAGGGATCATTGAAGACGTGTTGGTAAAAGTAGAAAAGTTTATATTTCCAGCCAATTTTCTCATTTTAGACATGGAGGAAGATAAGAATGTTCCACTCATATTGGGGCGACCTTTCTTAGCTACTGGAAGAGCGATTGTCGATATTCAGAAATGGCAGCTTATATTGAGGCTTGGCGAAGAACATATCTCTTTCAACGTGTTCAAGGCAATGAGATTTCCTACTGAGTCAGACAGCTGCTTCAAGATCGAGGTAATTGACAGAATAATTCAAGATACATTTCGGCTACATTATCCTTCCGATGCATACGAGGCATGCATTGCATATTCTCAATCCACTCACACTGATTCAAGTGAGATTAAAACATGTGTACGGTTTTTGGAAACTAATCCACCATACATGCGCAAGCTTCACTTCGAAGAGCTGGGAACTATGACTACAAAGTCAATGCCATCTATTCAACAACCTCCCAAGTTGGAACTCAAACAATTGCCACCACACCTTCGATATGCTTACTTGGGAGAGTCTTCTACACTCCCGATTATTATTTCAAATACTGTCGGTGAAGTAGAGGAAGAGAGACTACTTCGGGTGCTGAGGGAGAATAAAACAGCCATTGGATGGTCAATTGCAAATATCATGGGGATCAGCCCATCGCTATGCATGCACAAAATACTCATGGAGGAAAATTTCAAGCTAAGCATTGATGGTCAGTGGAGATTGAATCCAAACATGAAGTAAGTGGTTCGGGTTGAGGTATTGAAGTTGCTCGATGCATGCATCATTGACCCAATATCAAATAGTGCATGGATCAGTCCAGTGCAGGTTGTTTCAAAGAAGGGAGGTATCACAGTGGTGCAAAATGAGAAAAATGAGTTGATTTCTACAAGAACGGTGATTGGATGGAGAGTTTGCATCGATTACCGCAAATTAAATGCTGTTACTCGAAAGGATCATTTTTCACTACCGTTCATTGATTAGATGTTGGAGAGACTAGCAGGGCACTCACATTACTATTTTCTGGATGGGTACTTCGAGCATAATCAGATTTCGGTAGCACTTGAGGATCAGGAGAAGACAACTTTCACATGCCCCTACAGTACCTTTACATACCATAGGATGCCCTTTAGTTTGTGCAACACTCCTGCCACCTTTCAGCGTTGCATGATGGCAATCTTTTCTGATATGATTGAGAAATTTATCAAGGTATTCATGGACGACTTCTCAGTGTTTGGGTCTTCATTTGATGAGTGTTTGGAGCATTTGAGTCTTTTGTTACAGCGGTGTACAGAGACCAACTTGGTATTGAATTGGGAGAAATGTCACTTTATGGTACAGGAGGGCATCGTGTTAGGACACAGAATCTTAGCAAAGGGTATTGAGGTGGACAGAGCAAAGATTCAGGTGATTGAGAAATTACCGCTACCAACATCAGTGAAAGGTGTTCGTAGCTTCTTTGGGCAAGCCGGGTTCTATAAAAGGTTCATAAAGGATTTCTCAAAAATTACTAAACCACTGTGCTGTTCGTTGATGAAAGAATCCATATTTGAGTTCACAGATGAGTGTTTGATGACTTTTAATACCTTGAAAGAGAAGTTGATTTCAGCACCCGTGATCATCACACTGGATTAGAACCTTCCATTTGAATTAATGTGCGACGCCAGTGATCTTGCTGTTGGGGCCGTATTGGGACAACGAAGAAATAAGATATTTCACGTAATCTACTATATAAGTAAGACCTTGAACGACGCTCAATTAAACTATGCCACTATAGAGAAAGAGCTCATTGCCGATAAATTTCGATCATATCTTGTGGGGTCAAAGGTCATCGTTTACACAGATCACACAGCCATCAAGTACTTAATGGAAAAGAAGGATGCCAAGCCACGTCTTATTCATTGGATACTACTGCTTCAAGAGTTTGATCTGGAAATCAGGGATAAGAAGGGCAGTGAAAACGTGGTAGCAAATCACTTGTCTCAACTCGAGACCCCAGAGCAGACAGAGACCGTGAAAATCAATGAAGTCTTCCCAGTTGAATAAATTTTTGGTGTGGGGAGGCACTCTGGTTTGCTGACATATTTAACTACTTAGCCAGGTCTATCATTATGCCAGATTACTCAAATCACCATAATAAGATATTTTTCGCTGAGTTGAAGTAGTATTTTTGGGAGGATCTCATTCTATACAGGCGAGGAGTTGATTAAATCATTCGTCGTTGCGTACCTGAGGAAGAAGTTTCCTTAATACTAGAACATTGTCATTCATCTACATACACAGGGCATTTTGGTGCTTCAAAAATAGCAGTGAAGATCCTTCAGTCAGGTTTTTACTGGCTTACGTTGTTTAAGGATGCCTTTGAATTCATGAAAAGGTGTGACTGATGTCAACGCACCAGTAATATATCCAGGAGAAACGAAATGTCTTTGAACAATATCCTGGAGGTGGAACTATTCGATGTCTGGGGATCGACTTCATGGGGTCATTTTCCCCATCATTCTCTAATCAGTACATATTGGTGGCTGTGGATTTCGTATCGAAGTGGGTAGAAGCCGTTGCATTGCCTACCAACGATGCGAAGGTGGTGATTGATTTTCTAAAGAAAAATATTTTCACTCGCTTTGACACACCGAGAGCTATAATCAGTGATGGGGGCAAACATTTCTACAATTGCCAATTTGAACAGTTGTTGACTAAATATGGCGTTAAACATCGTGCAGCCATTGTATATCATCATCAAACCAGCGGACAGGTAGAAGTGTCCAATAGGCAATTAAAGCGAATACTTGAAGTCACAGTAAGCTCTTCACGAAAAGATTGGTCTAAGAAGCTAGACGACGCCTTGTGGGCCTATAGGACTGAATTCAAGACTCCTATAGAGATGTCACCATATTGATTGATTTTCGGGAAGGCATGCCACTTACCTCTTGAGATAGAACACCATGCTTATTGGGCAATGAAGAAATTGAATTTGGACTTGAAGGCTGCGGGTGAAAAAAGTCTATTACAACTTAATAAGCTGGATGAGCTTAGAATGGAGGCCTATGAAAATTCAAGACTACAAAGAATGCACCAAGAAGTGGCATGATATGCATATTCAGAGGCATGAATTTAAAGTGGGGCAAAAAGTGTTACTCTACAACTCTAGGCTTAAGTTGTTTCCAGAAAGCTGCGATCAAGATGGCCTGGTTCCCATACTATTACACAGGTATTTCCACATGGGACAGTTGAGATCACTCATGACAGTAAGGGGACATTTAAGTTCAATGGACAGCGTTTGAAGCACTATTGGAACGATAATTTCTCAAAGGAAAAGTCTACCATTCATCTTAGACCACCAAAATGACACAATATGGTAAAGTCGAGCTATCGACAATAACCTAGCGCTGGGTGGGAAGCAACACACTGTATCCTTCGAACTTTTCACATTATTTTAGGAGTTGTTTAATTTTCGCATTTACATTTTTTTAGATCATCGTTCATTCATGCATGTCAATAGAATCTAAGTATCGTCCACATAAATTCCTAGGCATTGAACATGTTCGGTAAGTTTGAAATGGTTTTGGGTGATTGGGAGTATAATTCACACATTTCAAGACAAATGGACGTTTTCAAGAATTTAAAGGGGAAATATATACTAGAGAATTCAAAGAGGGAAAATAAATTTTTGTATTTCATTATGTTTCATTTTATTTTGAAATTAAAAAAAAAGTGTCTATGCGATCACATAGACATGGTGTCTATGCCAAAAAGGGGGGCAAATTATATCACTATGCGACCACATAGGACACAACTATGCGGCTGCATAGAAGTCCATGATCGGCTCACTCTAAATCATTTCTCCCCATTTCTCTCTCACATTTCTCTCTCAAACCCTAGGTCCAAAAATTCCCATCTTACATGTACACACCCAAAAACATTCCTAGACCCTCCTTCATTTCTTCAATCATTCACGCATTCATCGCAAAAACCCAAGGTGAAAAAGGTATGAGCTTTATTCCTTCTCCTCATTTAGACTTTGGTTTGCAGTTACTCAGAATTTACAATTCGGAATTAAGTTGAAAGGGTGTAAGTAGGCTTGGTTTATGGCATTGATGTGTGTTTATGCATTGTGGGTGATTACACTTTGCCAAGTATTAATAGAATGGAGTTGAATATATTGCACACAACATGTTCGATAAATTGCCTAAGTGAAGTTTGTAGTGCATTATGTGGAATCCCGCATTTGACAATCTGAATATATAAATTAACATACACATTGTGATCGAATGCCATAGAAATTGAGCTAGAAGCACTCACTCACCAACCACGCACATGTAGGCACCCATGTTAGGTTCACGTTTCTTAACAACACCCACTTCGTCCCTTGAGTTAAGTACCCGTACGACATCCAATGGGCATGAAATTTGAATATGTGCCACTCTACATTACGTACTTTCATATGCCCAGAGGTTGTTTGGGAAAAATTTGATTTTTTTCGATGATGTCTGGGCCGAACATGCGCACTCGATCATGGGTCCAAATTTTCAAATGTGCATGTTTAGGCCTAGTTTTCTTAGTTTTTCATATTGACAAACTATTTACACTATCTTGAATATCATGTTTTGAAGAGTGCACACCAAGGTGTTATATATGTATGTTGAAGCAAGTTTGGAGGATTTGTGAAATACATGCCTTGCTAGTCTCATTCCCTCTCTCGGTTTTCAACAAGAAGTTTAATGAATGTTATTTTTGCACCTTTGCAGGATGCCTCCAAAAAGAACATCAAAAGGAAAAGAGAAGGTTGGTTCCACATCTGGCACAGCCCGGACTAGAGAGCCCGAAAGGGGTGTCAGGAGATTTCTATCCTCAGACACAGCAACCCGTTACGCCAATATTGTCCACGAGTGGGCACTCATCCTTAAAAGGCCAGTTAAGTTGGAAGATTTCCCCGATTTTGAATTAGTTTATTTAATCCACAATTGTGGTTGGGAGAAAGTAATTGAAAAACCGCATCCAGTGTATGAAAATATGGTGAAGGAGTTCAATGCCAACTTCAATACAGACATCGACACGCTTGGATCAGATCATCTACATCGAACATGGGTTCGGGGTAAATGGATTATGTTTTCACCAGAAGTGATTCATGACTAATATTAGCTAACCTGGAATAATGTGGTCCCGATCCCACCTAATTTCAACTAGATTGAGGTTGTAGAAGTATTATTGGGGCATGAGAAGCTTTGCCTCTACCTACTGCAGATTGGTATCAGAGTGATCTCACCCCATCTATAGCTATCCTATGGTTATTCATATGCCACAACATTGAGCCCATATCCCATAGGACGACATTCACAAATCAAAAGGCGGGGTTTATCTATCATTTGGTTCGAGGAAATAAGATTGACTTGGCCACATACATCTACAACCAAATCCACATTATAGGCATGTGGGGAGACAGGCACACCTCGCTGATTTTCCCAAGTTTGATAAGTGAAATATGTAGAGCTGCAGGCATACAAGTCCAGCCTGAGGAAGCACCAGAAAAACCAAGTCTCTATATCAAACACCTCACACTAGAGACACAGGACCAAGCCGGGGTTAAACATCAACAGAAGTTAGAAAATGAGCGACGCCGATAGCAACAGGCTGAGGAAGGATAAGCGGCTAAGGACTTCAAAATGCCACAAGTTCCTCCACCACCGATTGATATTGATACCCAATTATTGAGGCAGATGTTTGCCACTATGATAGGACACAGCCGAGACATGCAGACTCTTCAGCAATCTTTTGGAGCAATGAGTACCACCATCCAGCATGTGCAGTGAGTCCCTTGCAGCGCGAAGAGAGATGAGTACCTTTGATGGGTGATTGGGAATATACCTTGGCAGGATGGATGGTATACAGTGGCGAGTGAGTGAGACATGGGACTATTTAGGGAGCTTGGGGACCAGGGTTCAGGCCATGCAGGTAGAGCATACCTAGTAGTTTGACATATTGCGAGAGATTTTATCCCACCTTCCTCCCCCTCCTGGAGATGATGCTGCAGGACTCAGCCTTCCATCACAGCCACCATATTGATCAGGGGAGTCTTGTTTACCTCATTTTGCTATTTTGTGTTACTATTTTTTTTCTTGTTAAATTATACCATTTCAACTTTAATTCTTACATTGAGGACAATGTACTGTATAAGTTTGGAGGATGGTGGCATAATTTAAAACAAATAGTCGGCATGTAATTATTTTGCATTTTCACAGTCCATCGTTATTATTGACTAATTGTTGCATGATGCATGCTTAATGAGTGAGTGTTAATTATACTTTGGCATGCTTGTGTGTGCTTGATAGTCTTGCCGGCTATGATGTGATTATTGGATTGGTATAATTCATAAACTTTGAATATAGTGCTGAATAGATTAACCAATACTTGTGATGCAATACTTGACATTATCTATGCACGCTGTTCATGCTTGACATGTTAGGTGAATGACTGGATCTTGAGCATAAAGAAGGAAAAGAATGATAACCTTCTATTAAATTAACATGTAAATCACCTTAAGATAGTTTGGAATTGGTCGAGCTATTATATGGAGCATTGAGATAAGCGGGGGCTCCGTACATGAAATTTTATTATGTGGATTGCCTAGACCAGTGAGGTGAAAATTAGGCGAAAATCTTAAATTGGGGGTTGGTTTTGGAAACTAAATGTCTAGAACAATAAGGGTGTAAAATTAATTTGTAAGAATAAGACACTTCTTTTCATGCCTTTATAACTCAAGCAAGTAAGCCTGCAAAGATATTTCAAAATTTGGTGCCCTAAGGTCAACTGGCCTGGGAGTCACTGGCCTAAAGCTCGCTAAATGGATCATATAGAAAGCAAGAGGGAAAGAGGTTAATAAAAAGTAATCTGATCGAACCTTTATAACTCGAGCGAATAAGCCTGCAAGGGTTTAAAACCTGGTGCCCTAAAGCCAACTGGTTTGGGAGTCACTAGCCTAAAGCTCATTACATGGGTTGTATAGAAAACAAATGAGATGATGATAAAAAAAATATATTTGGAAAGTGAGAAAACAAAAGTGAGACAATAACATGAAGAAAAGCCCTTAGACATTTGGTTGAGGAAACTATACTTTTGAGGCGAGGCGAGTAATCTATTTTAATCTTGAGTGTCGAAGCAATCAAACTTGGGAGAGTTTTCACTTGTTGAAATGTAAACTTGTGATAGTGAGATCAATCTAAACTACGAGAGGGTGAGGATTACAGCTATGTAAATTCTTAATCTTAAAACACAACCCCAGGATAATTGAGTGAAAAGAATAAGTTTGGGGGGTTGTGTATCTCTCGAGCGTAAGGATACATTTGACCACTTGGGGTCGGGACTCAACCTATCATGAATTTGATATGTTGGCATGAATTCACACATGCACGTCAAGCATGCATTTAACATGTAAAGGTTGATGTCATTTTTGCACTGATAAATTTTCATAAAGTCAATTATTTAGGCCAATCTTGAGCCACGGCTGGGTATTAAGCCATGTTTGTTCAGAATTAAGTCACTATCTTGTTTAAGGACAAACAATAGTTCAAATTTGGGGGGTTTGATAAGTGTGTTTTTGCACACTTATTTAGATCACAAACATGACTTAATTATGAACAAAATGTTTAAATTGTGGCTTAATCTCGTTGAATTCATACAATGTAGGTGTTTCTATGGAAATGGTGGAATTCAGGAGAAAAGAGCCGAAAAAGGACTAAAATGGAGCAAAGTGATAGTTCAGGGACTAAGGATGCAAATATTCAAAGTTGGACAAAAAAGCAACCCGGGAATGCAAATATGCTAAGTATAAACTCGAACGCGATACAAGATGATTGGAAGAAGAAGGAATTGCAAATGGACTAAAATGAAGAAGAATGAAAG